AGAACTATCTCGACCGGCTTCAAAATCATGACGCGATCGTCGTTCTTGGACTTGGCGGCGTTGCGCTGTTTCTCCAACACTCTTTGCAGGGTGGAGGTGGCGGAGGTGAGGTTATTCTTCGCCATCGCGGGCAGAGATGAATTGGAAAGAGGGTTATTGGCTTTCTTCAAGGCGACGGGCTCGTTGGTTTGGCCCATCAGCTGCGAGTTACTGGCAGCCACGCTCGGCACGGCAGAGCCGGTCTCCGTCGTTCCAGATTTCATCTCTCGTTCCAGGAACTCCTGAATCCGAGACTGCATGACGGCCTCTTTGATCGGATTCTTGGACTGGGCGGCCCTGTGCTTCTTCTTCTTCTTCTCTTCTCTCTTGGACGGCTTTGCCAGATCGATCCCGTCCAGCAGGCCTTTGGCTGCGGCGCGGGCCAAAACGTCTTTCACCGACACGGATTCGGATGGATCTCGCTAAACCAAGCAAAGAACACAAATTAGCACAGCCGAACCCTACCAGGGAATTGCTATTGTAATACGGATTGTACCTTTGGGACAACCGTGACCTGGATGAAGCATGATGTCTTTACAGACGTTTAGACATTTAGAGCAGGGGTTCCCAACCCCCGGTCCATGGGCAGGTACCGGGCCGCGGCATGCCAGCAACTGGGCCGCACAAACAAGCAAAGCCCCATCCGCGAGATGCAGGCAGCACACAAAACCACATACCCTCCGGTCTGTGGAAAAACCTCTCTCCACAAAACCGGTCCCTGGTGCCCAAAAGGTTGGGGACCTCTGATTTAGAGTACAGAATTTACAAGCTTTTCATTCCAGAAAGTGCAACCAGCTGCAATTAGCCCTACAGGACACTGAGTACAATGGAAATTCTATGCCATAAATTAAGGCCTCACCTGTACTCAGAAAGGCCACAAGCCCCAGTTAACAAAATCCCCCCAAAAAGATTCCTTTGAGTCTAGATTCATTTGTCACTTTCACCCCTTTAATTAGGAGCTCTTTTTTTTTAACTGTTGTAGCCTTAACTAAAGAAACGTAAATTTACTCAAAGCCTCACAATTCCACTTGTTTCCATTTCGGCTGCAAATTACTGCTATTTGGAACCCAGAAACGGCTAACAGTAGTGCCCATTTTACTAAGTATTGTAGGGCTAATTGTAGCCGGTTGCATTTTCTGGAATGAAAAGCTTGTTAATTCTGTATTCTAAATGTCTATACAGACATCATGCTTCGTTCCCTTTTCATTTTCTCTCTCTCTCTTTTTTGCAAATCATTATTCAGCAGTTAAAATACAAAACTCCCCAAAAGAAAAGAAAAAAAAATCACAGAAGCAAATAAGCAAACCAAAGCAAACAAGCGAAATGTTGAAAAAGTGCATTTAAAAAAACCTCTTCTACCTGTTGAGTATTTGGCCATTAATATAATTAAGTAGAAGACAGGTTAATAATTTGTAAACAGAATTAGAACTTTGGGGGTAGGGAAAATTCTGGGGTCTGTTTCCCAAGGGGCAGGAAACTAATACTATTATATATTTATCAGTGTTCAACTGGAGAGACTATATTAATATCTGTAAGCATTCCCCTTTCTCGTGAGCCGTAATGAAACTCATTTTGCTTTACCTCTCGGCTTAAGACGGCAATAAAGCAGCTGTTTGAAATATCGGAGGGCTCCAGATGAAAGAAGTTCTGTTCAGAGGTGTTGACTTCCAATTTAGAACACAAAGGAAGAACTGGCGGGCAAAGCCTGAAGCAGATACAAACGCAGGAGATTGAAGGCGTTACGTCAAATAAGCACGGCTCAAATTCACAGTCTCTTCTGTCACGTTCAAAAGCTGCCCTAAGAAGCAACTGGGACTACGTTGTTTGGCCACTAAGCAAGCTGAAAACCAAAAGACCTTGTCCAGGGGTAGGCAACCTTGGCTCTTTTATGACTGGTGGACTTCAACTCCCAGAATTCCTGAGCCAGCTAGGCTCAGCTTGGCTGGCTCAGGAATCCTGGGAGTTGAAGTCCACCAGTCATAAAAGAGCCAAGGTTGCCTACCCCTGGACTAGTCTCTAGAAGTTGTGGGTGCTTCATCACTGGAGCTTTTTAAGAGGAGACTGGACAGCCACTTGTCTCAAATTGTATCGGGTCTCCTGCCTGAGCAGGGGGTTGGACTAGATGACCTCCAGGGTCCCTTCCGACTCGATTCTGATTCTGAACGTGCAACCCTTCAAACAGCACCGGCGGACATACTTTTTTTGGGGGGGGGGGAGAAAAGTAGCTGAAGCGAGTTCCTTACTTGTACGGCTGGGCCTTCGCTCCTTCCGCTCCAGATGCCAAGGCTTTGTTCACCACTGCTTCGTTTTCCTCCGGGTACACCGAGCAGGTGCAGTAGACCAGAGCTTGTACTTTAGCAACTGCCGGGATTCAAATCAGGATTAGTCCAGGAAATCGTCATTCAAAAACCAAGCTTTTGGAGAAACTTCTAAAAAATGGCGCAAATGATACAAACTCGGCAAATCCTTGTCCGCTGGGGACCTTGGCGCTCTCCGAGCTTGGCGGTTCCCTTGAAGACGTTTTATTACCCAACTAGACAACATCATCAGTGCTGGAAGGAAGGATTGTGGAGAGGAAGAGGAGGAGGAGGGGGACCATGGGTTTCCTGGTACTCTCCGAGCTTGGTTGTTTCCTTGCAGACGTTTTATCACTCAACTAGGCAACGTCATCAGTGCTAGAAGGAAGGATTGTGGAGAGGAGGAGGAGGGGGACCATGGGGTTCCCGGTACTCTCCGAGCTTGGTTGTTTCCTTGCACATGTTTTATTACCCAACTAAGTAGCGTCATCAGTGCAACCTGATGGTGTTACCTAGTTGGGTCATGAAACGCTGCGACGACGGTGTATTTTGCTTTCCGTATTTGGGAAATGTGTGTTTTATTATATTTTGGGTTGAGTTGAACTCTTACGTTTCTTAAAGTTGCCAAGGTTGGGAAACATGGATTTACAGCTGGCAATTCAGATGTGTGTCCCTCACACCCACAGTCTGCTAAGATCCCATACCGAAGGCTTCGAGCAGAGAAGAAACAAATCTTGCTTTTGATAAGAGACCGAGAAGGAGCTGGGTCACCGAAACTGGGAAGGGTGTGCTGTTATAGATATACAATTGTACCTGTTATGGGACTGAGTTCATGACAAAAAAAACTCACACTGCATCGCGTGGGTCAGCTCTTTCAGCTGCTGTTGAGCAAGGGTGCTTAGTTTGTCTTCAGCGACCGACCCTTGAGAGAGGTCTCTGAGTAACTCTGCATCTAAAGAGGACATGAAATAAAATGTCTACGCTGCAAGGGGACATTAGTGGTCAGAAAACGACAATTAACAATCTGCCTTCTCGTTTGAAAATTAACAGGAGCAGCTGGCCTCCAGAAATTGTGGGCGCTCCATCACTGGAGATTTTTAAGAAGAGGCTGGACATTCACAATTCTATTCTCTTCTATTCTCTTCTATTCTCTTCTATTCTCTTCTATTCTATTCTAATTTCTATTCTATTCTAATTTCTATTCTATTCTATTCTATTCTATTCTATTCTATATTCCAATATCTATTCTATTCTATATTCCAATATCTATTCTATTCTATATTCCAATATCTATTCTATTCTATATTCCAATATCTATTCTATTCTATATTCCAATATCTATTCTATTCTATTCTATATTCCAATATCTATTCTATTCTATTCTATATTCCAATATCTATTCTATATTCCAATATCTATTCTATTCTATTCTATTCTATTCTATTCTATTCTATTCTATATTCCAATATCTATTCTATTCTATTCTATTCTATATTCCAATATCTATTCTATTCTATTCTATTATTCTATTCTACTATTTTATTCTATTTTATTCTATTCTATTCTACTATTCTATTCTATTCTATTCTATATTCCAATATCTATTCTATTCTATTCCATTCCATTCCATTCCATTCCATTCCATTCCATTCCATTCCATTCCATTCCATTCCATATTTTCTATTCTATTCTATTCTATTCTATTCTATTCTATTCTATTCTATTCTATTCTATTCTAGCAAAGCCTACCAAACATAGTCTTATGTGGTGCTTCCCAAAGTCAGCCATGGTGCTTGAAGATGGTTTATACATTCCAGACTTCACGTGTTTTGGTTCTGCTGTCCCCTAATTATTATGGAACACCTCCAGTTGAGTCTGAGACCATGCCTTGAGTTTGGTTAACTTGGCCAAAATCCAACCACTGGTTTGCTGGAGAAGAAAACAGATGAGGAGGGAGGAGGAGAGATAAGGATGAGGAAGGAGAAGGAGAAGATAAAATAAGGGAGGAGGAGGAGGAGGAGGAGATGAAGAAAGGAGAAGATAGATAAGGAGGAGAGAGAGGAGCAGAAGGAGAAAATAAAGATAAAGAAGAACAAAGAGGAGGAGAAGGAGACAATAGATAAGGAGAAGGGGAAAGGAGGAGGAGAAGGTGGGCAAAGAGGATCTAGACAGTTGGCCGGAAATGCAACAGAAAAGAGAACGAGGCAGCCAAAATCCCTCCGGGAAGTTACCTTCGTGCTCCTCCAAAATAAATTCGATGGGATTGCTGACCCCCAGGCCGGAACAGCGAGGCAGGAGCAGGACCACTTTCACTTTCTGCAGCTTGGCGCAAGCGGGCTCAACGTTGGCAAAGTCCTCGTGGAGCAGCTCGATGTCTTGGGGAGGGGGAGGGGGAGGAGGAAAAACAGAAGGAAGAGGAGGACGCCCGTGAGACGGGACGGAAGGGGCACTGCAGCAGAAGACGACGCACCTCGGACCTCCTTCTCCCTTCGTTCGGGTCGCTGCACCACCCCGGAAGTGAATCGTCGCTTCAAATTTCGCGGGTGGGTGGGTGGGTGGGGTGGGGTTTAAGGAGCGCTTCCTGGAAGCGCCGGTGGTCCTCGGCTTAGCACCGTCTGCTTAGCGGCCGTTCAGAGTTACGACGGCGCCGGAAAAAGCCACTCGTGGCTATATTATATTATATATTATATTATATATTAACCTCTAGCCTGTGGTCTAGAGGTTAATACATCTGCCTAACATGCAGACAGCCCAGGTTCGAATCTCAGAAGGGTATGTCTGGTTGAAAAGAACTAAAAAGTTCGAAATGGCTATTCCAGTTCTCCCTTAATTCTTTGTTAGAAATCCAAATTTGGAAAGAAAGAGCTTTTATACGATGTTAACAGCCTGTATCCGGTTTCTGGAACGTGTCACCGGACCCAGCTGTTCGTGTTGTATCCTGGGTCCAATGCATCTAGGATACAACACGAACAGCTGGGTCCGGTGACACGTTCCAGAAGCCGGATACAGGCTGTTAACATCGTATAAAAGCTCTTTCCCAGTGACTACTTTTAAAGCCCTGATGATGTTAGGTGAGCCCAACGAAAGCTCGGCTCATTAATTTTTTTTACTATTTATTACTTTCCTCTTGGTGATTGTTATTTATTGGTTTTATCATGGATTTACCCAAGAGTCGAATTTTTAGCTTTATAACATTTATATATATATAAATGTTTGTTTGTTCAAACTCTTAAATCTCCGAACGTTCTTCACCGATTGCTTTGAAATTTTGACACAACGTTGCATTTGAATACGCGCGTGTTTTTATATACCTACTATTATATAGATGGCATACCTGTGACAGGTAAAAACATGCTTTTTTTGAAAAAACATGTAAAAACATGCTTTTTTTGAAAAACAGCGCCATCTGTTTTACGTAAATTTAACCAGACTGAGCCACAGCAACGCGTGGCCAGGTACAGCTAGTATATTTATATATTTACACAACCGCTTTGGCCTTCGGCATCCCTACGGTCACGTGATCCAAGTTCAGGTGCTGGTTTCGTATTTATGATAGTGGCAAGGGTCCTGGTGGGTGTCACGCGATTCCCCCCCCTTTTGTGACCTTCCGATAGGCAAAGTCAATGGGGCCAAGCCAGATTCACTTAACCATGATCCTAAGTTAGCCACTGCAGTGGCAAGAAAGGTCGTAAAGTGTGTGTGTATGGAGGGGTGAAACACACGTCACGGCTGTCTTGCTTAGCGACAGAAATGTTGGGCTCAATTGGGGTCGTATGTTTGAGGACCACCTGTAAGGCCTTCTATGCTAAGATAAATTTCTGGCTACTCTCTAAATCCCCTTTGCCCTCCATCTCCCTCCTCCTTACCTGTTGTCTCCTTCTCCTTTTCCTTCTCCTCTTCCCTCTCTTTCTTCATCTTTATCTTCTCCTTCTCCTCTCATCCTAATCTATCTTCTCCCTCTTCTTCCTCATCCTTGTCTCCTCCTCCTCCTCCTCCTCCATCCTTATCTATTTCCTCCTTCTCCTCTTCCTTCTCCATCCTTCTCCATCTTCTCCACCTCCTTCATCCTTACCTATTGTCTTCTTTTCCTTCGTCTCCTCTTCCCTTTCTTCATATTTATCTTCTCCTTCTCCTCTCTTCTCCTTATCTATCTTCTCCCTCTTCCACATCCTTTTCTCCTCCTCCTTCATCCTTATCTATTTTCTCCTTCTCCATCCTTCTCCATC